AAAAATTCCATAACTTCGTTTAGAGAGTCGCACAACAGGTAGTGAACATAGATTTGGAATCACCGTTTCAAGGCGCATCTACTGGTATACATCTCACTGCAAAAGACCATGGTCACCAAGTATCCTTCCCTTGTAAGAATAAACGCGTTCTTTGAGAGATTTTTTGCTTGATTCATCTCAACTTTTTCTCATTTCGTCCAAACGGTAAAGATAGTTGTTCAATACTGAATTTAAATTCTCCTTTTACTGGCACTACTTGTTTCTTGTTGCCTCTTTTTGTTTGCTTTTTCTTCCTAACTTACAAAAATCATGGCGATTTTCCCAAAATGCAACCCGTTCTGCCCTATGCAGCCAAATTTCAAGGGAAACAAGTACAAAAAGCACGACACTCACTCAGCAACAGCTTCGCCATGGGTTCGCGAAATGCTATGCTGTTTCAATTAATCATGCAGCTAGCTGTATTTTAAAAGGAAAAAATGGAATAAAGATAGAGATAGCAGAAAATCTGTTTTGTGGATCTGAAATTACAACAACAACGACAATAAACACAACAATATATCAAAGGAATGCAGGTGCAGATTTGAGGTCCGGCGGCATTGGCACTGCCGAGTAGGGAGCGAGATTCCAAGACTGGAATATTTGCTGTTGCTGAGGGTCGCGATTTGACCGCTTCGTTTCCTCTGTTGAACCTCGGAAGCGTGTGAGAACGGAAGTGTAGAACTGCTGTTGTTTTTTTAAAACATCCATGTATATATCGAGGGCAAGAGATTTCTTTGCTATGAGCACTTCTTCCTCCTAAAGACTATCTAATCAGACTTAGATCGCTTTGTAGAATGTGCTTACCCTCAGCACTTTCATTTGCAGGTCGATAATTGCCTTATCAGATACGCTTTCAGCGCTAGATGAGCAGTCGGGGTCAAACTAAAATGCGTCAAATGCAACGATGTATTACCAAGGAAAGCGTCATAGTCGCCGTACTCAAAGGCAGTGGACAGGCAGAATGGACTCTTCTCGGATTTCGGTGGTGTTAGGTAGTAGACCCCCAAGTACCCCATAGCCCAGACCCCATTTGCCAATTCATGCCCTTAATCAAGATGCGCTTCCACTCCACCAGCTCCACTTCCAATGAGTGGGCGTCATGGGTGGAAGTTTGAAG